TCTAACACTCAAAAGAAAAACAAAACAGAGCAGAGACTGTACTTATATGAGATAAAACTGACTTTAAATCAACAACAGTTAAAAAAGGACAAAGAAGGTAATTACATAATGATAAAGAGTTCATTCAGAAGACTTATCTTAAATATATATGCATCCAAAATTGGAGCACCTAGATTCATAAAACATTCATAAAAAATTTCTAGACGTACAAAAAGACTTGGATAGGCACACAACAATAGTGGGGGAATGTCGAGACCCCAATCACAGCATTAGACAGATAACTGAGGCAGAAAATTAACAAAGAAATTCTGAACTTAAATTAAATGCAATGGACTTAACTGACATCTACACAATACTCTGCAAAACAACCGCAGAATAAACATTCTTCTTATCTTATCTGAACATGAAACATACTCAAAGATCAATCACATCCTTGGTCACAAAGTATTCAAAAAAATCAAAATCGTACCAAGCATATTCTCAGATCACAGTGGAATAAAAATAGAAATTAATTTCAAGAGGAAATCTCAAAAACACAAAATTACACAGTAACTAAACAACTTGCTCCTGAATGATTTTTGGGTAAATAACAAATTAAGGCAGAAAATAAAAAATTCTTCGAATCAAATGACAGCAAAGATACAACATACCAAAATCTTTAGGATACAGTAAAAGCAATGTTAAGAGAAATGTTTATAGTGTTTAAATGCCTATATCAAGAAGACAGAAAAATCTCAACGATCTAACATCACATCTAGAGAAATTAGAAAAACAAGAAAAAACGAGCCCAAAAGGTAGCAGACAAAAATAAATAACTAAAATCAGAGCATAACTGAATGAAATTGAAGCCCAGAAATCTATATAAAGAATCAATGAAACCAAAAGTTGGTTCTTTGAAAGGATAAACAAGATCAAAAGACTACTGGCTAGATTAACAAAGAAGAAAAAGAAAAGATCCAAATAAGCACAATCAGAAATGACAAAGGTGACGTTACAACTGATGCCACAGAAATAAAATAGATACTCAGGCACTATATTGATACCTCATTGTACAAAAACCAGAAAATCTAGAGTAAATGGATAAATTCCTGGAAACATACACTCTTCCAAGACTGAACCAGGAAGAAACCGAAACCCTGAACAGACAAATACTGACTTCCGAAATTGAATCAGTAATAAAAAACCTACTAACCAAAAAAAGCCCTGGACCAGATGTATTCAGATGAATTCTGTAAAATACATAAAGAAGAACTGGTACCAACCCTACTGAAACTACTCAAAAAAAAACCAAAAAACAAAAACAAAGGAGGAATCCTCCCTAACACATTCTATGTAGCCAGCAGCACTGATACCAAAACCTGGCAAAGACACAACAACAACAAAAAATTATACACCAATATCACTAATGAACATAGATGTAAAAATCCTCAACAAAATATTATTATAGCAAACTGAATCCATCAGCTGAATCCAACAACTGAATCCAAAAGTTAACTCACTATAATCAAGGAGGTTTCATTTCTGGGATGCCAAGTTGGTTCAACATACACAAATCAATAAATGTAATATGCCACATAAACATATTTAAAAACAAAACCATACCATCATCACAATAAGCACAGAAAAAGCTTTCAATAATGTCCAGCATCTATTCGTGATAAAAATCCTCAAATGCATCAAAGGAATATACTTCAAAATCGTAAGAGCCATCTAAGACAAACCCACAGGCAACATCATACCGAACAAGAGACAACAGCTGGAACCATTCTCCCTGAGAACTGGAACAAGACAAGTATGTCCACTCTCTGCTCCTATTCAGTATAGTACTGGAAGTCTTCATGAGAGCAATAAGGCAAGAAAAAGAAACAGAAAACATCCATTTAGGAAAAGAATAAGTTAAAGTATCTCTTTTTGCAGACCATATGATTCTATATCTAGAAAACCCTAAAGACTCTAGCAAAAGGCCTGATAAAAATTTCAGTAAAGTTTCGGGATACAAAATCAATCTACAAAAATTAGTAGCATTTCTAAATAATGCTTGAGTTATTGAAATAACGTTCAAGCTGAGAATCAAATCAAGAACACATTCTTATTCACAACTGCCACACACACACACACACACACACACACACACAATTACCTAGGCATACATGTAACCAAAGAGGTGAAAGATCTCTATAAGGAGAGCTACAAAACATTGCTGAAAGAAATCACGGATGACACAAATAAAGGGAAAACCATCCCATGCTCACGGATTGGAAGGCTCACTATCATTAAAATGGCCATTCTGCCCAAAGCAATGCACAGGTTAAGCACCATTCCTCTCCATTTACCATGATTTTTCACAGAATTAGAAAAAAAAGCTATTCTAAAATTCATATGGAACCCAAACATAGCATAAATAGTCAAAGTAATCCTAAGCAAAAATGACAAAGCTAGAGGGATATTACCTAACATCAAACTATACTACAAAGCAACAGTAACCAAAACAGCATAGTATTGGTACAAAAATAGACATGCAGACCAATGCAACAAAACAGACAACCCAGAAGTAAAGTTACACATCTACAACCACCTGATCTTTGACAAAGTCTACACAAACAATGGGGAATAAACACCTATTCAATAAATGGTGCTGGGGTAAGTGGCTAGCCATATGCAAAAAAATGAAACTTGACTCCTAGCTTTCCATATATACAAAATTAACTCAAAATGGATTAAAGACTTAAAAATACCTAAAACTATAAAAATCCCAGATGAAAACCTAAGAAATATCCTTTTGGACACTGGTCTAGTCAAAAATTTCATGACTAAGTCTTCAAGAGCAATCACAAATAAAACAAAAATTGACAAGTAGAACCTAATTATACTGAAGAGCTTCTACACAGCAAAAGAAACTATCAACAGAGTAAATTGACAACCTGCACAGGAGAAAATACAAACTATGCATCTGACGAAGGACTAATATCCAGAATCTATAAGGAACTTAAAAAACTTAAGCAAAAAATAAAGAAACTCATTAAAAAGTGGGCAAAGGATATGAACTGATACTTCTCAAAAGAAAACATACAAATGGTCAATAAACATGAAAAAAATGCTCATCAACACTAATCATCAGAGAAATGCAAATCAAAACTACAATGAGACACCACACAAGTCAGAATGGCTACTATAGAAAAGTCAAGAAAACACAGATGTTTGCAAGGCTGTGGAGAAAAGGGAATGCTTATACGCCACTGCTGGGAATGTAAATTAGTTCAGCCACTGTGGAAAACAGTTTGGAGATCTTTCAAGGAACTAAAATGAGAACTGCCATTCTACCTAGCAATCTCATTACTGGGTATATACATAAAAGAAAATAAACAGTTCTACCAAAAAGACACAAGGACTTGTATGTTCACTGTAGCATTATTCACAATAGCAAAGACATTAAATCAACCTAGGTGCTCACCCACAGTGAATTAAATAAAGAAAATATGGTACATATACACCAGGGAATACTATGCAGCCATTACAAACAACAAAATCACGTCCTCTGAATCAACATGAATGCAGCTGGAGTTGCAAATTCATGCAGAAACGGGAAAACAAATATTGTATGTTCTCACAAGTGGGAGCTAAACCTTGGGTGCATATGGACATATACATTAGAACACATGCTAGGGACTCTAAAAAGAGTGAAGGAAGGAGGCCAAAATCTGAAAAACTTCCTATCTGTGTGATGGCCTCAGCAATGCCCAATCCTCAGCATCACACAATATACTCTTGTAACAACCTGCGCATGTACTCTATCAATCTAAAATTTTTAAAAAGACCTGTTAAAATGTGAAATAAAGATAAAATTTCTTATAGAGATAGATGTTCTTAAATATGCATATATTTTTATACTTTTTTCTGAAGGACTGTTTACAAGACATATGATACTGGCTTATAAATAAAACTATATTTAATTGATGAGACTTTTGTTGCTTTGTTTTCCAGAGCATAGCTTGAAATCAAACCAATACCAAATGTGTTTTTTTCATGATTTTTGTCCTCTCCGTTGGAATCTACTAAAACAGAATAAACTAACCTAAGTTGTAGTAAATACAGTCTATGAGTAGTACACTGCCCATGTTTCTTTGCCTTTAATGCCTTAGTGTGTTCCAGCCTGACTTCCACCACCAGCACCTGCATTTCTTCGACTGGCTGGCTTTCTTTGACAGATGAAGTCCACCAGTGCTGGAGAAGTAATAACTCTGCCAAGAGAATAGCACTCAGCAAATGACTGATGAGATCTGGTGTATAAATACCTCAGCTCCCTCACCACTGTAGTAGGAAAATACGTACCTTTTCCAAAAGAAAAAGTAGAAAAAGTCAGACAGAAAATGAAAAACTGTTCATCTTCACCACCCTAATACTGTCTCAAAGACAGTATGTTTCTATGTTGATTTATCACAGTATTTCCTACTCATGAAACGTAAGGAGAAGGCAACAAACTCAGTTATGTGAATTCAGTGGCAGTCACTAATGTGAACTCTGCTACTAATGTAACAGCACATCAATTTCACTTTTACTTCTGTGGCAAAGAGCTCCTAACATTCTAATACAATGACCACTAGGGTTTTTGACAATGTCATAATTAATCTCTTCTGAAGAAAATTAAATTTACCATGGATGGGAGGGACACTGACTACAAACTGTTCCAATTTCCTCTAGTGCGGTTATATATTATTGCCATAGCAGTAGATAAACTTGAAAAAATAGTGTATGCACGTATATTTGATACGGTAGATACTAATTTTTAAAATCAACACTAAAGCGGCCTTAGTCCTAAAAAAAAGTAATCTGTGTGTGTGTATGCGTATGTGTATATCTGTGACACAGGTAGTAAATTAGAAAGAATATATGTTTTGAATTACAAACAGCATATTTTCCTACTAAATACTAAACATAATTTCTTATTCCTAAATTAAGCTGGATTAAACTTCAGAATATTCATGCTTACAAATTATACTTACCACTTGTCCATTGTGTGGGTTCTTATGAGCATATGGAGGGCCACGGATATGGTTCCACATCTGGCCAGAAGTCATAGCAAAGACTATACACTGAAAAACAGGGTACAATGTATCAATATGTAAACCAAAGAATACCAGAATAATGCATTTCTAAAAGACAATGGTCATCAAGAAACTACCTTTTAAAAATCATGTATCAGCTCACCCATTTAAAAATTTTTCACTTATTAACTATGTGACTTTGAGTAAGTTGCTTATTCTCCCTACATCTCAGATTCCATATCTATAAAATTGGGATGCCAGCTCTGTTAAAGAAATATGTTAATGATTGCATCGGGTAACATACATAAAGCATCTGACCTGGTGACAGGCAATCTGATATTATGTGCTCACCTGAGCCAGTCAGAAACACAGATGACATGCTTGATGTTTTAGTGATATTTTAAAGGACATGATAATCATCTTCTATATCCTCTAAACATCATTCTTCTATTAGTTTGGATAACCAAAAGCCTACATGCTTGGATTATGGTACTTAAATCTCTGTTAAGTACCTAAATACTTTCAGCAAAGTGTACGACATAGTAAATTCAGAAGATGTTAAGAGATGGAAGAAATCACAAAAAGACACAGCCAGGAATAACTCACAGAGATTATATACCTGCTGGATGTATCAGAAAAAACTGTATTTGGAAAACTAATATTGAAGATCAAGGCATTGCAGGGAGGGTGGGCAGAGAATGTATAAACCAGAAGTCACAGTTCAATCACTGTAACTGAGGTGTCAGCGTGTTTTGTTTAAATCATAAAATATTTTTAAGTTAATGAAATGGAACTTCTTTAGACCAAATATGTTCTCTAGGTCAAAACAGTACCTGGACTTCCTGCTGTCCTGTATCTTGCCCAATCACTCCTTACTTCAGCTTCCTGGCTCTGATAGGCATTTGTACCGAAAACAGTACCACCACCACCACCACCACAAACACCAAAGACAAGAATGAGCAACACTCAACTGGGAGTCTAAATGTTCTAGGTTAGCACAATTGTTAAAGAAGAAAAGGATACAAAAGGAAAGAAGTGGGGCAAATAAGAAACAATATCTAAACCCAGAAAATACATTTGGATTGTGTTTTCTGCTTGGCAGCCAAAGTGTTGCAACAGATAATGACACAGCTTTAGAGGGGTTAATCTGAAGCCCTTTCTGACTTTCTTGAGAATAACTCTGAAATTAACTCAGACTTGTTAAAAGCCAGATTTGTCTTACAGACTAAGCCTAGGTTGGAATATTTTCTGTGTCAGGATTTTATAAAGTATTTTCACTTAAATTTGGTAAACACACTAAATAGACTATTAAGCCCAGGGTGAGCACAGAGAGTGATTCCCCATCTAAAAACATCAATTAAAAATTTGAAATTGTTATATGAGAGAAATAAATTCTATATTTAATGTATAGGAGTATCGTATCAGTAAATTTGGAGTATACATTAAAGTTGATTATTTATGCTATAAATATAGTGTTTTAGGCAGACTATATTTTAAAATCCAGAAAAAGGAGCCAGACATGGTGGCATGTGCTTATAATCTCAACTACTCAGAAGACTGAGATGGGAGGATCCCTTGAGCTCAGGATTTCAAACCCAGCCTGGGCAACAGAATGAGCCCTTAAAAAAACTGCAGGCCAGGGACAGTGGCTCACACCTGTAATCCCAGCAGTTTGGGAGGCTGAGGCAGGTGGATCATTTGAGCTTAAGAATTTGAGACCAGTCTAGGCAACATGGCAAAACCATCTCTACAAAAAAATAAATAAATAAATAAATAAATAAAAATAAAAAATTAGCCAGGCATGGTGGCGTGCACCTGTAGTCCCAGCTACTCAGGAGGCTGAGGTAAGAGGATCATCTGAGCTGGGAGGTGGAGGCTGCAGTGAGCCATGATCATGTCACTGCATTCCAGCCTGGGCAACAGAGCAAGACCCTATCTTAAAAAAAAAAAAAAATCCAGGAAAAGATACATCTTGTGAGCAAAAACATTTATAGTATAAACAAATTACCTTTTGTTTTTAATAAACACTTGTTAATACTACAGTTTTATCTTTTTATGCCCTAACCCTTGTCACTAAAACAGCAATGGTAACTATGGTATATACCTTTGGTTTTGCTTTTATGTACATGTTCACTCCTTCTCTCCCTCCATTTACTGATTCCGTAATATTCCAATACTGAATTACAAAAGCACATGGTGAAGTATGTATTTGAGAAAGGAGGCACTAATCACAGTATGGAGAATAAACTGGAGACATCAGTTTGGAGGCTGATGCACAAATATGAGAGACTACTGTGGTCTATTTCATGATACAGGTAACAACTGAGAGAAGCAGACATACAGGGCAAATATTTAATAGGTGGAGTCAGTAAGTTTTGGTGATTGAGTGATGTGATAGAAAATAAGAGAATCAAAACTAACCCCACTGTTTCTGATATGACTGGAGCAGCAAAGTAGTATGGCCCAGTGAGATACAGAGTGACAGAAGCATGTAAGCGAAAGGGAAGCAGGTTACAAAGATCTGGAGTTCAGTTTTAAAATGACTGATTCTAATGTGCTTGCAAAACATTCACTTCAAAAAACTGCTGAGATGTCTACGAGACACTTGCATATACTGTTTAATAACAGTCATCTAGGAAAAAGCTATAGATTTGGGGATTGTGAGCACATAGTTGGTTACTATAGTCACAGGAATGGATGAAGTTGTTCTAGGACAGTAGGTAGGGTGGGAGAAGAAAAGCAGGCATAGAAAATAATCCCATAAGCTGGTTCATGAACAGCTGCCCAGGAAACTGGGATGCACAAGTCAGAGAGTTAGAAAGAAAATGAAGAAAGCAGGTAAACTGGCTGAGCGTGGTGGCTCATACCTGTAATTCCAGCACTTTGGGAGACTGAGGCAAGAGAATCGCCTGAGCCCAGGGGTGAGACCAGCTGGGCTAACATGGCAAAACCCTGTCTCTATTAAAAAAAAAAAAAAAAACCACAAAAAAATTTGTTGGGCATGGTGGTGTGCACCTGTAGTCCCAGCTACTCAGGAGGTTGAGGCAGGAGAATGACTTGAGCCCAGGAAGTGAAGGTTGCAGTGAGCCAAGATCATGTCACTGCACTCCAGCCTGGACATCTCCTAAGGGCAGGGGGAGGGGAAGGAAGGGGGGAGAGGCAGAGACAGAGAAAGAGAGAGAAACAGAGAGAAAGAGGAGAGAGAAAGAGGAGGGAGAAAGAGGAGGGAGAAAGAGGAGGGAGAGAGAGGAGGGAGAGAGAGGAGGGAGATGGAGGAGGGGGAGAGAGAGAGGTTGGGGGAGAGGGGGAGAAGGAGAGGGAGAGAATGAGAATATAAAAAGTCTTTCTTTGGCTATAAAAATATTTAACCAACTAAGATATTCACAAACAGAAGTATCTACCCAAGAACCTTCTATGCTCTTAAGACCTACCACTGGTATGTTTAAAGTACCTTGCCTAGAACTTTATCGTAATAGTTGGGAATGGAGACTTGTAAATTGTAATACTCAAGTTGCAGACGTATCTTCAGCACCTGTGCAACCTTGAGCAAGTCCATTGCTTTGGGCCTCAGTTTCCTATCTAAAACATTAGGATAATACTGGTATCAATCTTCCTAAACTTCCTAAACTTCCTAATTAAGTAGGTTAATCCATGTAGAGTACTTAAAAATTGCACACAATACACAACACATGCTCAATAAATATTATTATTATTCCAAAGCCCTCCACAATTTGCTCCCATACTCCTAAATGGCTCCATTTGCTAGCATGCCTTAACTGGCACTGCACTCTCCATTCAGGCCACTCTTCCTGCTTCCCCCTGCATCCATGATGGTAAGGCCTGCATCCACATCTTGTTAATGCTATGTCAACCCAGTCAATCTTCTACTAAAACAGAGTTAACTCATGGCCCATAGATGGTTCTCCACAGAACCCTTCCAGTTTGTTTTATTTATTTAACAATTACTTACTGGAGTACTACTGTACACCAGACACTAGAGATGTAAGAATTAAGTAAAATCAAGAGGCTTCCCATCCTCAGCTAGAAATCTTGAATAAGTAGCATGTGCCCTGACATTTAAAAAAGATTCATTTATTCACTCAAGATACTATATATTTAAGAACTGATTTAGAAGCAGAGAATAAAGCGATGAACAAAAACATAAGATAGAAAACTGTCATCAAGAAGCTTACATTCTACACGGAGGAAAAGAGACAACAGCAGTAGCAACACTATTTATGGTATGTCACAAGTTTTAAAAATCATCTTAATACATGATTTATTCAAGATGCCAGGAAATGGTTTAATAAAACAAAACCAGGTTCAAACGTGGAATAACATGCAGAATCATTTGAAGTAGTGACAAATGTATTTATTCATACAGCTCTGGCACTTTTCATAAGAAACAACAAAACAGTAAGTAACATGCACTTCTAAAATGCAAAACAGCCTAGGCTTCAGTTTATCAAAATTCTTACAACTGATGCATCCTTTTTTGGTTGTAACAACTGACATGTCACCATTTCACTACTTTCAGCAATCTGGAAGTTTTAGTTTTGCAATTAATCTGACTAAAATATTTTTATTTAACTATATTCACACAAAAAAGGCATGATTCATAGCTATAGCTAGATTAATTTTCACAAAACAAACACATCCTTGCAACTAGCTTTGAAATCAAGCAAAGGAACACTATCAGAAAGACAGGAGCTCTCCTGTGTCTCTTCCTAATCATAATCTACATAACCTACCCAAGGTAAGGAACATTTTCTTGAAAATTCTGTATCACAGAGTATGTAAGTATACTCAGCTTTAATAGATATAACCAAACACATTTCTCAGGAGGTTGAATGAAATTTATATTCCACATAGCGGTACATGAGAGATCCAATTGATATCCATCTTCACCAATTATTGGTATGAGCTGTGTGCCTCTGTGTGTTTCTTCTAGTTTTTCTGGTAGAGGCATGACAGTGTCACATTGTCATTTTATTTGCATTTCCCTGATTAATAAGGTTGAATACCTTTTCACATGTTTATTGAAATTT